TATCTATGTGCGACACTCAAGATACTGCGGGTGCGCCGTCAGTTGTCTGCCCATGAACCTCGGCGTCTTATTCGGTAGATGCTGTCACTACGACGAGCTCGTTCGCCAGCAAGGCGACATTTGCCAATGAGGTGTGCAACCATCACCCTGAGAACCCGACGGTTGCGTCTACTTCCTCCACGGTGATGATGTTGAGTACTCGGCGCTCGCGTGCAGTCGCAGCAGCCGAGGCGACGCTTGGCAAGACACTGCCGCATTGCTGGTCGTGCATGACCGCCATTGGCGTCTCTCACCTCACCTACAGGACACTGTCCTAGTACAGTACTCTGCGGCGCTCGGATGGCTTTCCAATGGCACAAGCAATGCCGCCATCCTAGAAGACCTCGGTATATCTCTCAACTTGACATTATCCGGGCACGCTACTACTTACTGAGGATATACACTGCCGCAACGAATCCATGGTGTAGAATAGCCTACAAGTAACTGACCGCCTCTTCGCTCCACATACAGTTCTTATAGTGCACGCTGTCCTTTAATAATCGGGTTGCAGCCATACTCGATTTTCTCTGCCCAACGTTTCTTCGGCGCCATTGCGACTAGCCGATGAGCGGTTTGCGGGGGCCTCCGTAAGCGCTACAGGCGAAGCCTGTTACCGTAGATCTGAATCGTGGATGCCTCCTGATGTCGTGACAAATGAGCCGCGCGGCTGTGTCGATCTCGCTTGCTCTTCTGTTGAAATTCATCAATGACTGAACAGGAGGCCCTGAGCCTGGGACGCGTTGCTGAGGCCCAGGTTCGCGCGCGGCTGGATTACCCTTTACGCTGGCGCGGCCAAGGGATGATAGCTGGCGCTGGCGTACGCATCCGTTATCATAGTAAAGCAGAAGACTACAGCGGCCGATACGCATCGCCAGCAAAATTGCGCACGACACGGCGGGCATTGACACAGGGCGGAAATCTATCTCAGGACGTGTATTGCCGTCAGCCAAAAAGTCCCGCACCCAGTAGCCGTCCTTCGCTTCAAGATTGGGAGCAGAGTCGACTCCACGGCGGACAATCGGAGCAGCTCGGCGATAGCTGGAGTGCGAAAGGAAACGTTCTTCACAGACGTGCCAAACTTGCACGTTGATGGTGCCAGCCGATGCCACGCCCCAGGAGACGAGCTTGATATATGAAGGGAAACAGGGGTCCAGGCGAATGCAGGCACAAACGCGGTCTAAAAGCGGTGGGATATGGTGACCCGATACGCACGAAGATTCGGCATGCGAGCCATCGCCACAGCCTCGATGGGAGCCGTTGCTTTGCAAAGACAATAGGTCGAACCTCGGAAGGCAGAGCCACCCTACGCCGCCAGTGCAGCAGGAACGCCGTACGCTCTTCTCTAATGCATTGCGGTACCTGAGCAGCCCGATTCGTCGGAGAGTGTCCTTTCCAATGTATCGTCAAGCCAGAAGCCGCGTAAACGAGATGCGTGTTTGTGTATGAGCCCATGCACAAGATAGGAACGCTCCCGAGGGAACTTTGACGTCGCATGTCACAAGATTACGGAGGGTCTGAGGGAAAGAGACGGAGATGATAGTGCCTCGTGGTAGGGAGATACACTTTACACACCTTCTCGAACCCTCAATCCTGCCTCAATCCGCCATGAACCCACCTGGTGCTGAGCATGGCGAACAAGATATAGGAGTCTCCGGGGTCAGTGCGCACAAAGACGCCAAGCATCAAAGCAGCATGCAAAAGAGAGGGCGCATTGGAACTCCGGTGTCCGCGCTGTCGGCCAAGCCCCACTCCGCGAGGAAAGAACAAGGGCGCTGCTTTGCGTGTGCACAATGATGGCAACGACGTGGCGTGCGGGCTCGGGTAGCAGCTAGTGCTGAATTGTGTCGGGGCATGTTTGATGTCGGACTAGAAAACAAAGACTGACGGGCGGGCGTCGCTAGCCCCCAGTGCTCGGATCACGTTTGAGTGACGCCGGTAGGCCGCCCGAAGATGCCGTGAGAAGACGCTCGTTCCTCCCGCCACCAACACAACCTCAATGAACGCTGCCCTAGTAGATGCCTCTCTCTATATCCTCTATCGTCCCACCCCTTGACCTCAAGTCTGGTCACGGTGGCAGGTGGGCGCGAGTAGAAAGTTTACCACACATAGTCGGCCTGACCATTGGTGGAAGCGTACACGCGTGCCTTTCCTGTCGGTGAGCAATATCTGTACAATGACCTCCGAGTGATATCACCAGCAACAGTCACATGCAGCATGCGTATATGAGTTGTAGCTAATTTTCAGCTCAAGTGTATGCTTCCTCCGTCTACCGTGTAATTCACGCAAAGAACATCGCGAAAGTTGAAAACCGAGAGACAGCTTACCCCGAGAGAAGAATATTTTTCTGGGGACAAACCATGTAAGCCAGCTATCCAAGGATTTGTACCAGCTCATCTGCCACCGTCTACCGTACGTCGTGCTAAGTGGCGTACATAATAGCCAAGCGCTTCACAGGCTGGTCCCTGAGCTAGCTCCCTTGGATCTTCTCCTAAGGATAGCACCACGTTGCTTGTGCCACTGCTATCGTCCGCTTTTCCTGGCCTGTCATGCTCCATTTCACAAACGCTGCTCGGAAACCACGCTATGCGATACCATCTCTGCCTTTTTTTCGTATGCTGTGTTCACGTTCGGGTCGCCCTGTATTATTGTGCTCGGTCAGACGACATGTGTGTTAGACAGTGTCGACCACAGTTATCAGTACCCTCGTTATCACTAGCTGGGCGCGCCGCGAACAGCGGGCTTTCGAATGCACTGCCGCGCGTATGTTCAAGTTCCTCGCTGCGCGATCAAAGAACCGAACTGGAAAGCCGCCGCCCACCAGCCAGGACGACGGACCCTTTAGTCCGCCAGAGAGCCGCGCGCATGTACACGCCGCGAGAACAATCGCACGTTGCAATTTGAACACGCGCACTGCGCGGGTGTGCTGCCGACAATGAGTGATGCCCAACGCAGTGCATCAGCGCCCGTGATCGAGCTCGGGCCCTGCTCGCCAGAGATAACAGGTCAGTGCAGAGGGCGCTGCGGCAGGTACCCGCGCACGGGCCGATCGAGGTGAGGAAGCGTCAGTAGTGAAGACGGCAGTGCGGACAGGGGTCAGGGTGCGTTCGTGGCTGTTACCAGGGTCTCGGTGAGAACCGTCGCGCTGCGGAGACAATTGGTGGTGCCCCGTGGGGCAAGGGCGGCCCAGCTTTGCGGTAACCGC